GTTCCTGTGAAAAGCTGCTGGAAGCTTCCCCCATGTCAGATGGAGCCAGTGGCAGCTGGCTCCAGGATGGACCCACTGACGGCCCAGGCTGGGACGGCAACACTGGCAGCACTCTGGGATAAGGTATTTAATGAGGGGAAACGTTACTGCACAAGAGCAACTACAGCCAGGAGAGGAGTGAGAATCTGAGAGAGGAACAGCACTGCAGACCCCGAGGTCAGTGCAGAAGGAGGGGCAGGAGGTGCCCCTGCAGCCTGTGGGGAGGACCACGGTGAGGTACCTGTGGCCCCGCAGCCCATGGAGGTCAGTGGGGATGCAGAGATCCACCTGCAGCCCGTGGAGCACTGCTTGGCCACGTGCAAAATACAGAGGACCTAAGGCACTGCAAAATGTAGCAGTGCTTGAAATTGAGTAACTCCAGTAGCATTAAAGTTTCCTTTAAATACATTAAGGACCTAAAGAAACTAAATGTCAGAGATGATTTTGCTGCAGAACCAGTGTGGTCCAAATTTCATTCACTGCAAAGCATGCATGAAGGAAACCAAACCAGCAAATTGCTACAGAAATCAGCTCGTTGGCCAGTCTGACACACACCCAACGTGAGCATGCTGCAGAACATTCTGAGGAAGCACAGGTCAGTAACACAGCTGCAGCAGCAGCATGAGGAGGAGCCCAGACCCAGAAGAGCAGCGTCCACAGACACCAGACCTGCACTACACCGAACCTTGTTCAGGGGCTGCTGAGCACAACTCCAGCACAGCTCCCTGCCAAATCCCCTCCCAGCCAGGCCCTGCTGTTACCATGGCTGCTGAGGAACACAGATCTTTGGCTTTGAAAGGAAATGAGTCAGTTGGGGCTGGTGAAGCCATCACCATGAGATTGCCCCGAGCACCAAAGCGTGGGTGGTAACAGGACCTCCTGGGTACCACTCACATCCCCTGCACAATGAAGTCCAGCATTTCCTCTCCCAGAAAGCCTTAAAAATATGAAGTGTGTAGCCTGTGAAGCTCAGGCATATGAAGGTTCAAGTATGCAGGTTATGCCTGACCCATGACAGACAAGCCACCCCATTTTTAATTCTATCCCCGACACTCTCCACGCTGTAGCCTGGGGAGGCAGAGCAGCCCAGCTCCAGCACAAGAGCTGGGGGACAAGAGAAGCAGATGGAGCAGGAGTTGAAGGACAAAGTGCCACCTTTGCTTACACGCACACCTCCTATTTCCCTGTTTTTGCTGGAGTGGATGCACGGGAGAGCTGGTGATGGGGAATGATTCACAGCACGCAGTGCCCGAAGCCACTGTCTGGGCTTCAGCCCTGCCCCGTGAAAGGAAGGGCCAGGGAAGAAGGGCAAGCAGAAGGTCCTTCTGAAGGGGGACTCCACCTTCAGTCTGACACAGCAGCTCTTCCACAGCGCAGGTGATGCCACAGAGGAAACTCTGTGGCTGTTACCAGATCCCCAGCCTGAGCTCCCCAACTCCAGTGATCAGCCTGAGCCCCCAAACACCTGCCTGGAATGTGTCACAGAGCCAAAAAAACACTCTTCCAGACCACAACATCACAATGCTTCACAAGCATCATCTCAGCCCTTCAGTCCTTGACTACAACCCTTCATATTTATCAGTGGTGCAAAGACAATTTACTGTTATTTACTCAGGCCAAACCAAATAACCCAGGAGGAATCAGCTTTATGGCAGACACAGGCCACACATCAAAGAAGGAAACCACAAATACTGCCTGTCCACCCTTCCTCTGAGCATCATGCTCTGTTCACTGAGGGAGACAGGAATCCCCGTGAAGAAAATTAAGTGAGCATGTAATTAAAAATGACATCATCATGTATATATTGGAGCAGGCCACAGCCAAGGCTGAAAGGCAGCCTCAGTTGTGACATTTGCCAACCAGAGCTAGGCTTGGCTTTACAACCTTACGGGAAGGCAAGGCAACTTTATTGCTGAGCTCTCCCCAGATACAGCTGCTCTGATTCAGCATGAATCCAGCATGAATCAGAGCCATAAAAGAGTCACACAGGACCTCACAGTTCTCTGGAAGCCTGAGGTCTCCAGAGAGCTGGCGAGTCATATCGTGCGCTGGCTCCTGTCACACGGGTTTCCATAAATGAGTGCTAATTCCACAGCAACTGCTCACTTGTGACCACTGCAGGGGCATGATGGCAAAGGGAGTGCCCAAGGGAAGTACACACATTCCCGTTTTTAGGCACTTTACAGAAAACAAGGTGACATGGCAGATAATTGGTCATTTTACAACCAGTGACCCTGTCCAACAGCATCACTGCCTCCCAGAAACGTGCTGAAGCTCAGAGATGTAACATGGAGGACCATCACCTCAGCCACCACAGGAGGTGGTAATTCAGCTCCCTCCCTGACACATTCTCAGGAGATTCATACAGCAGAAGGAAAATTGCACATATACATATAGAAGACTGTGCTTTAAATAATTTCTAAAAAACCTGCCCTTAAGCAAGGCAGAATACAAGACCAGACTGACCCTTCTGGTCAGCCAGGAAAGATGCATGTGGCCATTAAGCCAAGCCCAGCTCCTCTTCACTTGCAAAGGCCTGGAGCACTCATGGTCCACCACCACATCCTGCCAGGACCTGAACCTCAGAACCCACACGGCCTTTATCACTTGTGGTCCTACACAAACACATCATCATCGTGTTTGCTGCCCACCAAGATTCCTAGAGAGTGACTGGATCTGTTCTAGGCACACACAGTATTTGCCAAATGACTTCCATGGCTAAACCATGGCAGATGCAGAGCCAGGAGATGTTCTGTGCCCACTGACACAACCATGAGCTGCCTGTGTTCCCTCCCCCCACCCCCCAATAAATACCTTGCATAACCCTTTCAGTGTAGCAATGGAGATTTCCAAGGCAGCAACCAAACTAACCTGTTTTTCTAAGAGCCCTTCATTTAACACAAGAAAACCTACATGAAGTGAGAGCAATTAAAAAGTAATCAACTTGTCTAAAGTACTTTCAGTTATGCATTTTGTCTGTACTATGGTTTAAGATGACTCTCAAATAGCAGTTTCATTTGAAACAAAAATACAGTAATATCTCAATAACTGCTTCACTTGCAGCTTGCCTGACCTCACAGAAACACTCCCAGAAATGGAGCTGAAAACATATTTCAGAGCAAAAGGAGATATTTACTATAATTAACAACAGCAAACCTGTGAAAGCTAAATCATAACTGTACTGACCAGGGAGATCTCCAATGACAGACTTGTACAGTCCTTCTAAAAGTTAACACCTTTCAGTAACATCCTTTGCTGAAGCCTCAACCCTACACAATAGTTCAGCAGTTACACAAAATTAATGAAATCACTTTAGGGCAACTAAAGAGCAGAACTAAACCACAAACTGAGCTTTCCAGAAAGTCAGGAAATGTACCTTACACCTTGCAGATCTCAGTGTTGCAGTTCAGAAGCTGCTTGGTTTTGGGTGATGTGACTTCCTCCTCAGCCTTCAAGAGAATCAGGACCTTCTGTTTTCCTGGTCAGAAACCCCCCTGGCACCTCACAACCCAGCTGTTTGCTAAAGCAATGAGCTGCAAGACAGAGCCAGCACACTGATATGGGGACAAAAGGAGTGTGACCAATGTCTGGTCAGAGTCTTCCTAAGGGAAGAACAGAATTATTCCTGGAAGACACTTAAACGTCAGCTTGGACTTGTTTCTGTGTATTTAACATTCAGCTTTATTTACATCCTTTCCAATATATGTCTCATCTCTTTGCAAAGGTTGCAACTGCTGCCAATTGGATAAGCTTACCCTTGCAGCACTGGAACTGCAAAAAGTATGTAAACATTCCTTGTCACAATGGTATATAAGGTTTCTGAAGTGATGGAATATTTAAAACTGAATAAAAGGCTTTCAGCAATTGTCACAAAAGCTTTGGGGACACAGGAACTTTACATTTCTTGCATCATCTTTACAGTCACGATTTCCACTCTGATGATGGAGGCAGGTACTGAGGTATTCTGCAGACCCAAAATAACTTCCTTGAAACAATCTGAGTGTTTTCTTTCTATGTAAGCTTGAGTGCTGGTTCTACCTTTCAATACTTCAGGCAGGTCACTTGAAAAGAGATCGCTTAGTCTGAGGCAGGCTGGCAGCACCACTCACGTCTGAGGCCAAGCACAGCTTTCCAGCAGCAGCAGAGTTAAAATCAGATGATTTCTGTGCTTGTATCACAGTTGAAAAGCAAACACTTCCAGTGCAGCTACAAGTGACTCTAGAAAGTAAGTCACCCTGGACTGGTGTCCTGGACCAAATCTTTACACTTCATCTCCCCAGGGAAAAACCCACCATTTCCTTTGGCACTGTGAGAAGAAATGGTTGGGACTGAGGCAGAGCTGCTCTCCTGCTGGCCCTCCTGCCACAGAGGATGGTTGGGCTTTCCCACAGTCACACCACCCAAAGCTGAAGGCAGAGCACAGGTTTGCAGACAAGCCCTGAAGAGCAGGTGCTGGCACTGCTGGGCCAGGCTGGACCAGCAAAGGCAGGATGTGGCACAAACCCCCAGGAGGGGGAAGCACAGTAACTTGGAATAGTTAAAACACACCCTCACAACCTGAAAATCCCACCCTGAGAGTCCCACCCCTCACCAAATCTGTCAGTATTGCACCTGCCATGATCCCCACCTGCTTGCGTGTTTAATACACTAATGAATAATTCTAAGTTCTCAGCCAGAATAGGGTTCTTCAAATATATTATGTAATTTGTATCACTGGACATGACAATATTCAACTGAGTATCGTCTTGTAGGAGTTGTGAACTATTTACCTTTTTATTCAGTCTACTGCATCCTTCAATTACAGCACACAGAGCTCTGCAATCAACACCTCTAGCAGCTGCTATTACAGCCCATCTTATTTAAGAAGGCATAATTTATCTTCCATTTTCTCTTCAATTACTTTTCCCCTACCCTTGAGTATTTTACTTACAGGCTCAGAGGGCACTTGGTGGCTGCAATATTTCCTTTGAGATAAGAAAGGCTGTTGTCTGCTGTGCACTCCAAGGAGCCATCGTGGGGCACTTCCAGGGGCAGCTACACCTGTATCCTTCAATACACAGTTTATTCTTATTGTAAGGTCTCATTTGCTTTCCACAAGTGTAACTTAAGAGTTTACAGTGATGTTACAGGGCCCTCAACAGTTACAAATATATATTTTTAATACACTGTACCAAACCTGATCCCTGCTCTTCTCTTGGGAGCATTAAACCACATATATCAGCACTATCATGGCCATACACTGAATTAATTGTTTTTCCACAGTTCCTCACATTCTTTGAACGCATTAAATCTGGGCAAAGCATTTTACTACTGAGTTCTTCCAGGCTGTTGATAAACACGGTGTCTCAAAGCCCTGTAACATACCCACTAAACTGAACTGTGAGAGAAAAGTGAGTTAAATGAGGTTATTAAACTCTTCCCCGGGTGAAAGTTAGGGAAACAGGATCTCACAGGCCAAGACAGCTGGATTTTGACCCATTATAAAACCTGAATCTGCAGGACAGCAACATGGAGCAAGCTACATAGGGTTGGGGTTTTGCCCTTGTTAATTATGTCTACCTGTTTATTAGATACAAATATCTAATCTATCTACCTGTCTAATTGCCAGGACTTTTTAAAGTCACAGGGACATTTGCAACCACTTCTTCCTCTGGGCCAGGAGCTGCTTTTGAAGACAGAGTGAGTATTGTTCATCTTCAATATCTGTTTAAGCTCCTTTGCTGAACACAAACTCAGGATATCACATCTATTCCAGTGCTTTACAAGCAAATAGGAATACACTAAGATTTCCATGAAACAAGTATCAGCAAACTCTGTTTTCCAGACGGGTGAAGGCAGTTCTAAGGTACTTGCCCCAAGTCTCGCAGTGATGGAGAGTGAGGAGGTGTCACCTCCAGGCCTCTCTGCCTTCAGTGCAGTGTTGGGAAGGAAGAAACAACCTGCATTGCAGTGCCACTGCCAGCACCTGGACACTGGGATGTCCTTGCTGCCAGGAGAGGGAAATCTCCATCCTTCCCCAACACCACAGAGCAGGGAGCACTGCTGGGAGGGCAGCTCATGAGTTACAGCCCGAGCTCTCAGGCTCCCACCCATGGCAGCTGCTGCTCTGTATCCCAAGGGTCTTCCAGACTGAATTTTGGGTTTTTTTTGCACAAATCCAGTGTTCCTGCAGCATATGTCTGTAAGTAACACTCCTCATGATCAGTTGAAGGGCTGTGCCCACACTGCAGGCACAGGACACCGAGGGCCCTGCTCCCACTGCCTGCTCCCAGCACTGGGGACACAACAGCTGCCAGAAACCCTGGAATAACAGGAACAGTCCAAGAGACACAGTGTGGCCAGCACATGATGGGTAACAAGAGCCTGTCTCGGTGCTGTGCTGGTACTGTGGCCGCTCCATGACCACCCAACAGTTACCTCAGGAGCTGCACAGGCTTAACACCAAAAATATTTGCCTTGTTCTTCCAGTTAAGTACAAAATGCAGAGTCAGCAGCTTGAAAGGATCCCTGAGAACACACAGCAGCCAGGAGAACATGACAGAACAGGGCAAGGAGGATCCACTACAGTTTTTGTGTCTTTAATCAACTCCTCACAGTCACACGTGTCCAAACACAGACCTGTAACACATAATTCTCAGGACAGCACCTACTGCACTTTAAAAGAGTTTTTATTAACTTGTTTACTACGAATTATGTGCACTGTGATGGTTATCCTTAAAATCTGAAAGTGGTCATGGACAGAAAGCTATCTGTAAAAAAAGAATTCCAAAAGATTTCTGTTACATCTCCAACAGTCACCTTCTGGTGAGCTTGTAGCCAAACTCCGGAGGAGCAATTTGAAAACAAAGCACTACAGGGGCACCTGTGAGACCCTACATGGACTGAGGAAAATAGGACAATGAAAGTGGCTGGACAGAAGTGACTCTGATTGACTCGATCCGTTGCAGTTCATTAGAGGATGGCAGCAGAGAACAAAACCCATTCCAAACCTAGTTCCAGCATTGCTGTTTAATGTACAGAGATAAATGCAAAGAGAGGATGTAAATACTCAGAGCAGGAGTGGAGCAATTTTAAAGGGTATAAAAATACACCGACTGCTTGGAGCACACACGTCCTGACGCGATTTTGGTGGCAGAGGGAGACACCAGGAGCGAAAAAGGCTTTTAAAGCAGCCGATTTCCCTCCGGTAACTGCAGCCAGGGCCCGGTGAGTGCCGAGAGGAGGGAGCGGGGCCAGCCCCGGACACACGAACCCGCCAGGGGGGAGCGCGGCAGCAAAAGCGCCCAACGGCGGCCCCGGGACACCCGGCCCGGCCCCGAAGGGTGCGGGCAGCTGTCCCGGCCGCGGCGGCCCCGGCCCCGCGGGGCTGTCCCTGGCCCTGTCCCTGTCCCTGTCCCGGCCCGGCCCGCGGGCACAGGCCCCGCGCGGAGTGTCCGCTCCCAGCCGGGGGCCGGGACACACGTCCCGCAGGGCCCAGCCGGCCACCCTCGCCCTCCCGGCCCGGCCCGGGGCCGCTCTCCCCGCTCGGCCCCGGGATGGCCCGGCCGGGCCCGCGGGACCCGCGCACGGAGCGGCACCGGCTCCGGCTCCACCCCCGCCCCGCCGGGCCCCGCTCGGGGCCGCGCCACCGCCCCC